GTTGCCCGGGACAAAGCACCAACCGCATAACGCGAAAAGCCCGTAACAAAGCACGCACTCCTGCAACCACCCACACCTACACACACACACACACGTAGTAGCCTCTTCCTACGTGCTTCCAAAGTTCCTATTCGCCAAGTCTTCTCCGCAATATTAACATAACAGCAACAGAGGAGAATCCCTCCGCGGTAAATTGGTATGAACAGAGTTCTGATTGGTCAAACGCGACACAGGCTCCTTTAATCCTTTCTGTTGTCGTTAATATGTATGCATAAATGTATAAGTCAAAAATCTAGAAATATTCGCGTTGCATTCGTCTTTTCACGTAAGAGACTTTGTCGTGAATCCGAAAATACTTGGATATTATTAAAAATCGTCTTTATCCTTATTGATTCAGGTATTAGATTATTGCAAAAGTTATCGTCTGAGGTTCCGGATTTTTCTCTTGTTTTAATAAGTACTCGAGGGTTAATATAATATTGGGGAAAAGTGTTTAGGATTTCGATTGGTTACTGGGAGGGTTCTGTTTTTTGGGAAGGGAGTAATTTATGATGGAGTCGTTTGCGATCTTATCGTAGAAAGAATTTCGTCGTGAACCTGAGAAGGTAGCAAATCGAATGCTTGGATATTATTAAGAATCGTCTTTATTTTTATTAACTCAAGAACTTGATTCCGGATTTTTCGGAATTTTCGAATATATTATCGGGAAAAAGCGTGCAGGATTTTGATCGGTTATTGAAACGGTGGAAATGGTGTTTTACGGAGAGCTCGGTTTTTTGAGAAGGGAGTAATTTGGAAATTTGGAGTAATTTTGCGAAAGTCAACTACTGTGCTTTGATCACTTTTGAACAATTGCTCACTGATAGTATCGATCACGTTTGACGTATCAAATTAGAAAGAAACGCGAGAGTTAAGGGGTTCAATCTAGACGTGAACTCTATAGTGTTGCATAACTGTCTCTATTGGAAGTGACTGCAGCCACCAGCTTCAGGCGGCAAGTTTCAGGTCAGATTTTGCGTTTGGCACCCGGGGAACTGAGATTATGAAGGCGATTGCCTAGAGGACGCGTCTCGAAGTGGGTGTGCACGATTTTGTGCTAGCTGGAAACTGTCTTCTCCGTGCTATGGCAGGTGGTTTGAGGCGACGTAGTTCTGGATGAACTGTGCCAGACACGCGGGATGACGAGAAGCCGGATTGTTTGGGGATAGAATGTTTGCGGTTGGACTTAGGGTAAACGGAGAGCGCGATAAGCCGCGCAGCTCTGGGGAATTCATTTGTGAGGGGTGTAGAACTTATTTGGAAAGGAAGCTGCGGGAAGGAAACTTGAGACGGTATTATGACTTTATGGTGGTTTGTTATTGGAAGGAGGGAAGAGATACGGAGAGAGAGAAGTTTGCTGGTTAGAGAAAAAGAGGAGCAGTTCGCTCTGAGCCTGCTAAATGGTATAGTTGGTGCAACAAATAGGTCAAGTTCGAAAAGTAGAGCATCCAATATTATGCTCGAGGCACAGATTTTATTTTAGGGCGCCTGCAATAAAATGATTAACATATAATATTTCATATACATTTTTGTGATTAAATAACTATTGCTGTCTTCCGTGTACTAATCGTTTATTAAAGGACCCGTGCAAGTATCACGGAACTGAGACGGTTTTATAAAGTACAGTATCGTTACCGGACTAATCAGTAGTTTAATTAGTAGCGTAATGGTAGAAGGACTAATTTCTGGGATTTTTGAGGGAGGACGTATAATGCACATATGTCCGTATCTCGAGGAGTGGGAGTTAGGATTTGTAAGGGTTTGGTATACCAAGGGCAGAGTTCGAGGGTGAGACGGAGTTAGTGAGGGAAGGACGAGGTCATGAGGTCAAAGTTCGAGGATGCGTAGCAAGGAAAGGACGAAGTCATTGGCTGGAAGGCTAATACTTAAATCTACAGCGCGATTTCGACTAATAGATAGCGTTGTATACTCTCGCTATTGTTGTGTCGTCAACTTATGCGACCAAAGTTTCATCCCCTAGTTTCATAGCGACTAAAGGTTCACATCCCTGTCTTCTCAGATTTCTATCAATTCCCTTGTTGGAACACTTGAAGTATGTTTACCTTATCGTCTGACCAGTTCTACGACGTCACTGTATTTATTCCATCGACTGTACATAATGATAAAACTACACAGCTGCAACATTTCCTATATGCATCCTCGTCACACTTTTTCACATTACACAACATTCATGGACCTATGTTAATACGACATGTTCGTCATACTTTCAGCCACAAGATATGCTCGCAAAGGTTGTACGCAAATCTGCGCGACACTTTACGTACCGAACGCTATTATACAATTTAATCTCATTAGATATTCATGACACCGAACATCCAACATCTTCGATAAATCACACGTGAAAATTGATTCTCGATATCCCGAATTTTAATCTTTTCCACATTATTCAGTTGGAAACTCTTATCGTCGATCTATCGGGACGAGGATATTTTCTCGTTTAAATCTCTCGAGAACGGGTAACTGTCGTAAATCAACGATAACTCGGTCGTAAATATGAAGAAACGACAACATTCGCAGGTCGTAATTAATTCAGAATTACTCGAAACAAAAGGAATGCAGTCACCTTTGTCAAATGAGTCCTCGCGCACCAAGTATAATACACTCGCGACGAAGAACTCTCCCTTCGTATATAGCGTGTTCTCTTGCGTAATTCCAAGTTGAAGGTAGAGCGGTGCAGTGTTAGTGTGCCAGGTCGTTGGCTGTTTGCGTTTTACTTCGACTAGCTGAGAGAGGAAGACGTTTTTCGGGCAAGCTAAATATGCATAGAACTTGTCTCGGCCTATACTTGAGCCGGTGCTTGTTCTAACGTTGAAGGTACACCCTGTCGCTTGGAGTAGGGGGGATGTTTATATGAACGTTGAAAGTTCGCCGGCGATTATTTGCCTATTGTACATTCCTCGGCAGTTTGTTTCCACCCTTCTTCCCGTGTGGAATTATCTTGGAACGAAGGGGTGGCAGGTGTTTTTGCCACTCGAAGACTAGAAATTGTGGGACACAGTTTTCACACGATTCACCCTTTGCGGTATGAATAAACCGCACTCATTTGGCCACGGACAGTATTGTGTTGTTTGCCCTTTTTTCAATATTTCTGCGGAATATTAGTTATAAAATATTAAGTTTCGGTGCAATATTAATGCATAAAAATATGGTTTATTGTCGTTTATAAATAATCACTCTATGACATCTGAAGGCAAAAATTCCCATGTCGAGTCTAATTCGAAGGAAAGGGTCTATTATCCTTTATAATTTATAATTTATCATTCTATGATATCGGAAGGGAAAAATCCCTATGTCGAGTCTGACTCGAAAAATGGTTTATGATCGTTTGTAATTTATAATTGATCAGTCTATGATATCTGCAGGCAAAAATTCCTGTGTCAATTCTAATTCGAAGCAAAGGGTTAACCCTGATAAGCCCAAACAATTAATTTTAACAACGTCACACACAATTTTCGTGGTAGCAAAGTGTCTAATAGCATTTGTAACGTTGGTTTTATGAAGAATGTCTGAATTTAAATTTGTAATAGTTAATCGAACAACGAGTTTCACATTTCTCGTTTTAACCTCCGGCGAACTGTCTACAGGGGGATGAAAAAAGAAAATGTACATTGCCCAGTTTAAAACTCTTTCTGTTGCTGTTAAGTATACGAGAAGTACCATTGTTGAGAGATTTTTTCTTTTAATACGATTTGCGTCTTATACAGACTCCTAGTAGATAATAATATAAACTTCTATTAGAGGAACAGATATCCTTTCATTAAAGTATGAGAAACTCGCTAATTAAATATCCCAGTGCAACTTCTTCATTTAGACTTGAAAGTTTACCGAAATGTTTACTTTCATTGTCGAACATTTTCTTCTTCAATACACTTGTTTCTCTCACTGTCCCATGCAAAAGTTGTATAACTGCGTGTCTCAAGATTGTATTCACTTAACACGTTCAGAACGGTGTGATCCACCAGATATGACGGATGAGCACATTTTCAGATTACAAACTGAAAAATTAGTATTTTCCGTAGGTGTGGTAGTCTTATTGGTCGGAATTATTTTTTGGTAGCGCGTGCTCAGTCAGTTGTCGCCTAAAAAACGTATAAATTTTATTCAAACGAGTTTGTTTAAGCTGTGTGCATATTACTCTTTTTTCCCCTCGTTTCTGCAGACGAAGGGTCTACACAGAAAGTTTGGAAAGCAAAAACGTCTTGCCTGGAATATCTCGACCGCAAAGAGTTAAGCCTTTGACAGTCTGATATAATTACGAATTAGAGTGAATAAAATTGGTATTTTACACGAGTCTTTTTAACAATTACGTCGTGTGTGATTATTTTTAGAGAACAGTGTACCCTACGTCACAGTTGTGATAATAATATCTCGTCCCTGCCTAACTGTTTGCCTCAAAAGTTAAACTGTTCGTTATTTAACGCACTGCCCGAGTCTCACTCGGGATAAACTGTCGAAGGATTAGCGATAGTGTACACACTTCGGTCATAACTCGCTGCCGTTCTGAACGTGTTAACGAATTTAACCCAAATCGAATTTAACCTAAATCGTAAATAATCTAGTATCCCCAGTATGGTTAACAGCAACAGGAAGCTACTTCGCACACTCTAGCCGAGCAGAACACCCTGTACCCAGCACTCTCACGCATATCCGAAATCTCTTATCCAGGCTGAGCCAGAAAGATTGGAGAAACTCCTCGCTATCTGCTGAAGGGTGCACATCCGCGGAGTTTGCCCGTCAGCTAGCTTAAAATCTCCGTAAGCCACGGTTAAATCCGTACTTTCGACCGTGGCACGATGCTCGTCGTCACGTCGAGACGTCGTCGCCATCTCCGACTGTCGAACAACCGTGTGGAGAACAGCGAGAGGATCGTGTCTCGTGAACAGACTCTAACCTGAACGATTTTCCGGCGTGTAACATGCTCGAAGTCTGTGCGTTCTGGAATGGAAGTCAGTGAGCCATCGGACGAGGACGTGGACCGATCGATAGGCAGGCTTAGCACCACTTCCGGCATCGATCGCCTCTCAGAGTCGCTCAACTCGAGCGTTCGCGACACGCTGCAAGCGGCCACCGTGTCTGCCGACTCTTATCAGCCGCCTAACGTGATTTTGACGGTGATCAAAGGTGTGGTGATGATTGGTATAATCGTGACAGCGCTGATAGGTAACGCGCTGGTGATAGCGAGTGTTAGACGGCACAGGAAGCTACGTGTGCCGACCAATCGTTACGTGGTCAGCCTGGCAGCTGCAGACTTTCTCGTCGCGGTTTGCGCGATGTCTTTCAACGCCTCGGTCGAGCTGACCGGCCACTGGATGTTTGGCAGGATCATGTGCGACGTATGGAGCTCGCTGGACGTTTATTTCTCCACAGCCTCTATACTACACCTGTGCTGTATAAGCGTGGACAGGTATTACGCGATCGTGAGGCCGCTGGAATACCCGGCGATCATGAGGCGGCTGACAGTGACGTGTATGCTGGGCAGCGCCTGGCTTCTGCCCGCTCTGATCAGCTTCATTCCCATATTCATGGGATGGTACACCACCGACGCGCACCTGGAGAAGCTCAGGAACAATCCTCAGGTAGAGAAGTTGGAGGGTTCTTTGAGAGAATGATGCACAGGTTGTCTCGCTTGTAACACTGTTGTTGAACCTAAGGACAAATTGTTAGGAGGAGTTTAGGAAGAAGTCCATTTTATGGTTGCAATAGGTCGTTACACTTATCTTGACATCTAAAAAAAATGTGAGAAGAGAATAAAGTAAAAAATTCCTCAAAGACGTCTTGAAGGTAATTTCAATGCTACTGACATTGATATTTTAATGTCATAATAGGTCATTGAACTTATCTTGGGAGCTCAGAAAAGTGTCGATGACTTCGTCAGGACTATCTTTTATCATCGTCAGATGCAGATCACCAAACTTTTCTTACTTTCGATATCAGGAGAAATACTTTAGGTGTTCGTTACAATTGAGACACCCTGTGTATTTACCAGTGGAACTTTGAGGTCCTGAAGTGGAATCTTTTTGTTTGGTGGTGAAAACTGACATTTTTCGTCCATTCTTGGTTATCCTGAATGTAAATTTCAGCACTTGCTAGCTTCGAAAAGTGACAGTATCCTATGTTGATGGACTGATTACGGAGATTTGTGGTAGCGAAACTTGAAAAGTGAGAGTATCAGATTTTTTGCAATGTAATTTACCGGTGTGTTAGTTTCGTATTAACCGATCGTACATTTCTTGTTCATCTTCTCGTCCGCGCTTCCTTCTCTCAGGAAATGTATTTGCGTTGAGATATTCCGAGGATGGTGGGGCAGAATTCACCCGGGATAACGTACCACCGGGACTTCCTCAAGGATACTCTTCGAGTGAATATTGAAGTGAGATTTTTTAGAGCGCGATAATTTTAATTTTCATTCACTGATTGAAAACGGAGCCTCTTCCACTGATAATTTCACCTTTCTCCAGGATATTTATACTCTGCCCCACGTTCATCTCGAGTTTCAGTTCAATTAAAACGAGTGTCTCTTACAAAGTATTAATTAAACTACAGAAAAATAATCTTTCCGTGATTGGACAATATTTTATTGGTTATATTAACTAGCAGCATTGAACATCTATTTATTTTCAGACTTTAAAATCATTCAGTGGAGAAGGAATAAGTGAAAAAATCACGCACACCACTGTGCATAATAACAAATCGAAATAACTAGCAAGAAAAATTGTCAAATTAGACAAAAATTAAATTACCTTCTTCTGGTTTAATTAAATTCGTTAATCGTCGATTATCACCGATTTCACGTGCCCCAAATTTTGCCGGAAAATCGAACGACAACGCGTTCAATTAATTATCCATCGAACAAGCAAGTGAACTCAAAATTGCTGCAATTATTGCGTGTCACGTAACTCGGCGGATTTCTAATTTCAACTGGTTTTTCCATGTTAATCCTGGCCCAGCAGGTAAGGCCAGACGTTCAGTAAGCGGCCGTTTAATTTTCCCTCGTCGCAGTTAATAGAATATTTTATCGGATATTTACTCTTCGGTCGTGCAAGACAGAATTTCAATTCACGGAAAATCGAAGTGTAGGGATGAAAGGGGGGGTGGTCGGAGGAGGAAGCGGACGAGCAAGATGAACGGCCTTCGAAATTTGCATAGAGATGATTTACTATCTGCCTCTTATTCCAGCGTACTATAAACGGAAACTCGGAATTAATAGCCTCGATAATTCTACGTCCGACGCCATGTGTTGCGTTTCTCCCTCAAAATCTCATTGTTTCGAAATTTCTCCATCTATTCTCAGTCACAAAAGCTGCTCGCCATTTTCTTCGTCCTCGTTCGATTATTATTTGCTCTTCCGCTTTAACTGTTGACACACTTTTTACCGCCGCTTGTAATTATTGGTTTTTCGTCGCGGAAAATACAGGAGGAGGACTCGCGATGGGATTAAACGATAAGGTGAATCTTGGTCCAGAAGTGAAAAGTCAACAGCAATACACAATTAATTGTCAACGAAACCAAAATATCTGAATTAGGGCATTTCTGGAAGTCACAAAATTTTAATATTACAATTTTTTCAAAATTATTTTCCGTAATTCATTTACATTTTCTTGGGCATTTTGAAACTTTCGTGAAACTTGCTTGCAGTTATCCCGAGTTAATTTCAATTTTCCCTAATTTTCATTGCATATTTCTGCTTTTTCTAATTTCGCGCTTAATCTACTTAACACATTGCCAATCAATGTGGCAGATCTGCCATTTTCTACTGTATTATTTGCGTAGAATATTTCATTCTCATTTTTTCTTCATGTTTTAGAATATGTTTTTCCATCGTATTGTTCATGAAACGAACCATTGTTGAATTTTACATTGGTAATCTTCCTAACAGAATACTTCATCAGCTTTCCTAGAATTCATTTTAGTAGACACTGTTCGGTTGCAATTCGTTCGGTCGGCAAAGTGTTAATTTTAATATTTGTATTTATCACTTCTTCTATCCTACAAATAATCCTCTCATTTTCATTCTCACTTTTTAACATTCCTCCCGTGTTCTTAATGTCCTGCTTTCATTGGGTCTCCACGTTTCTAATTTCATCGCTAATATTTTTCTTTCCAATTTTCTACTTTCAACATCTGTTTCACTTCCTTCCTCCCTATTTTTAACCCTCTTAGCTTTATTCGTTTCTTCGCCTTCGCCTCTTATATTCCCATTTTTAGATTGCCTCTATTCCAACCGCCTATTTTTAATTTCGCTACTTTCTTTATTAGCTAGAGCCCACCTTCACGTTCAGTTTCCTTGTTTTAGTAATGGATTTTGTTGCTCCTCGCGCTACGCGCCTCCGTTTCTATTTATGATTTTTTCCACTGGCAGCTCATTTACCTTCGTTTCCATTTTCTTTCTTTCTCTTTGCAATCTACCTGTTACCATACTTCCTCTTCTTTTACTTTTAAGTTAAATACTCTTAATGCACTTTCTAATTATTTTACTTTCTTTCTTTTACCGTCTTGGTAACACGTTTTCTTATCACTCTGAGAAAGAGCGGAGCAAGGTGTACAAGTAAATTCTCTTAGTGTTTAACAATAAGTATATTGTATTCATTGCAAAAAGAATTCTCCAGGATTCACTGCGAAAAATTCAATTCCACGCTGCAAAAAAATTCTGTAAGATTACAAAAAATTCAATTCCACGTTGCAGTCAAATTCTCCACGATTCGTTGCAAAAAAATTCAATTCCACATTACGAAAAATTTCTCTACGATTCGTTATAAAAAAATTCATTGCAATAAAATTTTTCACAATTCGTTACACAAAATTCAATTGCACATTGCGAAAAATTCTCCAAGATTCATTGCAGAAAATTCAATTCCACATTGCAAAAAAATTCTCCAAGATTCATTACAGAAAATTCAATTCCACATTGCGAAAAATTCTCCGCGATTCTATTTAGGAAAGGAAATTATTTTCGTGTCAGTTACATTTGACAGAAGGATTGCATTTCTTTCTTACTAATTCTACTGAAATTTCACTGAAACCATTTCCACTTTCAGATAGAAGATTTCCCCGTAACTTGTCCAATAGAGAAAAAAGAAAGAAAGAAACGTAATATTTTACGTTTGACTAATCATTGTGTACCAACAAAAAAAAGAAAAAGAGAAAAATAATAACGAATCGTAGAAATTCATTATATTCCGACCACGTAGGATTTTCCAATAATCGAAGTTACAGTTAATATGTTCTTGATTAATTGAGCTTTTACTACAAAATACGGTGGAGAAAAGCAGGAAAACGGCGCAGCGAAATATATTGCTTCGATAATACAGCAGGTACAATGAACCGTTCGCACAATGGACGGTTCTGTTAATCGAAATTCTGCCGTGGTCTCTACTCATATTTCTCTGTTATTTGAACAATAACTCTTTGCTACTTCAGAAATTTATGTACTTACTGCAAGTTTCGCTGAGCAAAGTAATTGTATCGCTAATACGTGTACACTTTTAATTAGTAATTCTTTAATCAAGTTTAACAAGAACATTCTGCTTAGCTAAAAGCGAAAGAAAGAAGTACATTTTTCGCTTGACAATGGTAAATTTGTACGAAAATATAAATCGTTCTAAGTAAACGTACGTTCATGGAAATTATAGAAATTGGAGTTGAGGGTCGTTTCCAGATGATTTAGGACGAAAGAAAGAGAGTTTGGGTATGTTTGAACTTGTCCAATTACGTAGTTGGAAAAGTTGCGCGAACTCAGCCGGGAAAAATATTATAAGAAAGGAATTAATGAGGTCGAAGAATAGGGAGGTCTTCGAAGGACTTTAAATTACTAAGAGTGTCGAAAGTTTGGAAAGTGTGGAGGTAATTAAGGAAAATGGTGACAGCTTATGTGAAAATAAGAAAAGAAATATTGTAAATTGAAAATGAGTAATTTTACTTCTTTTACGAGTTTCTTTTTTTTTTTTAAATTAATATTAAGATTCTCGTCGAGAGAAAAGTTCGTTGATAAGTCAATTGAACTAGTCGAATTTGAAAAATGTAATTGAAAATGAATTTGTAAAAATTAAAAGAAATATATATTCAGAATTTTAGAATTCTACAAATAAAAAATCGAAGCGATTAAATTTTAAATGAAGCATTATATCAAGCCCAAGTATTCACTCAAACTGGATACAATGATTGAAACATTATCAAAGCAAAAATTGAACCAAGAATTGACGAAAATAGTCAGAAAAGAAAAATTCGCCGCAAGGAAAAATTTTTCATCGAAAGAGAAAAATTCGCCACAAACAATTTTTCACCGAGAAAAGAAAAATTTGCCATAAGGAATAATTTTCCACCGGAAAAGAAAAATTCACCGTATTGTATGTGTGTGTCGTTGAATCAGATGTGCCAGTTCGTGGTGAACAAAACATACGCCGTGATAAGTTCCTCGGTCTCCTTCTGGATCCCCGGTTTCGTGATGATTGTGATGTACTGCAAGATCTACAAGGAGGCTGTGCGTCAAAGGGAGGCACTGAGCCGCGCCTCGAGTAATACCGTCCTAAATAGTGTTCACCTACATCGTGCATCCACCTCGAGGCATCATTCTAGGGCGTCACATCAATTGTTGCTGCATCCAAGCGATGCCAGTGATTTTGGCAGGCCTGTCTCTTACAGGACCGCCGCGGAGCTGAACGTGGAGAACGGTGAGTGGAAAGATGGAAAGTGAAAGATAAGATTTCTGCGCGAGCCTTTGAAGGCAAACGATGCTGCAATTAACGAACCGATCGCAACAAGATTGCTGTTTTAATCGACATTGTAATTTAGGAGTGAAGCTTATATTTTGAGAACGGTTGTATGTTTATGCCTTTTTCATATCGTGATTGTTATTATTTAGGAGTGAAGTTTGTATAAGGGGTGTTTTGTATATTCGTGCCTTTTTCATATTTTGACCATTTTTATTTGTTTAGAGTTTGGTTCATTAGTTACTGATTTTGTATGTCAATTACTGTATTTCAATTATAAATCAGTTCTTTTCGAAATATTATTTTCTTTACGAATTACAAAGTTGAATTCACTTTTAGTTCCATTAAAATTAATTATAAAAAAAATTGGCGAGAATAAAGTGTGACTTGTGAAACGTTAATGATCGTTCAATATTCTGCGACTTTTCTATGTTACATATGTAGGATTGTAATGATTTCCTGTTTCGTATTGATTGACAAACAAAAGGAGCTTAAGTACAAGCAGTGCAATTGGTATTTGAAATATTCAGATGGGAGGCTTCATTTTACATAAGGTTCACCCAGTTTCTTCCTCCTTTGCGTTTACTACGAAATTGATCGATTGAAGTGTCTATCTATTGTATTTACGAAACTCTTTGATAACGTAATTTTATGCAATGCTACTAATATTGTCGCATAATTCACACGAAATCTTTCATACTTTGCTATAATTTTTTTCCTTTGTTTGAACAGAAATTTCTAAACACAAGTTTTTGCAAATAATCGACGTAATACTTGTTCTCATTTACATTACGTATTTAAAGGGATCACTAGTTTAGTTATTCAATTTTTTATTCTACAAAATTAAAATTTATTATTTACAAAATTAAAATTTATTATTCTACAAAATTACAAAATTAAAATTTTTATTCTACCATTTCCATTGATAACGCTCGTAATATTCAAAGTGTCGAGAGATATTTCCACCTTCTCAACGCTCAAACAGACAAAACTCCAGACTTTGAAAAGCCACGGAAAAAGAAGTCACAATAACTATCAAAGTTTGTTTACACGTGGAACGTCTTCAGAAAACACTCTTCTTTGCCCGCCCCCGGACGTTAATTCCAGTGTTAACATCCAGAAAGCGTCATCGGTGACAATATTAACCCATCTATTTTCACGCTCGGCGTGTTCGTTTATTTTTATCACATAAAATCCTCCACTTTCGTTCTCCTCCGTGTAACGAAACCCGATATTTTCGTCGCGTGTTCACAGGCTCCTCGTTACTTATCGAGACCTGTCGAACAACGATCCCGTTGGTTTCCTACGGTCTTGTCTTCTGTGATCGTCGTCCGGGAGGGAAATGTTTCCTCACGTGTCGCCTCGACGGGTGTATCTTTGGCCGGTTGTTGGCCATTGTTGCAATCGTCCGTGCACCACGGCGACACGTTCTGGAGCTTTCGTATTTTTAGAACTTGAACAGCTCGTTCTCGCCGTGGGGCGTTTATTAAGTGGACACTCGGCGGGCAACAAGCGGAGAACAAACAATCCTTCACCGTCTGAAAATCACTTGCTGTTCGCCTACGTCATGCCGCTGAATTATTTTCGTCACCTGTCGTCTTTCGTTTCATTGTATTTCCACGATTCTGGCCGGTAGGGAATAGGCGTGTGATTGTTTAATACGTTTGTCGGGAAATTTGGTCAAGGTTTGGAGAACGAGACACGATTATGCAGTTATTGTGATAATTATGTGATTGAAGATAGAGTTCGCGAAGCTTTGAAATTCTGTGTGTGAAAAGTGTGAAGACGTTCGAATTTTAGGATATACTGAAAGTTTGATTAATCCTGCTTTAGTTTTCTGACTCTTTTTCACACCGTTAATTTGACAGCAAATGATTCTAGGAAAATAGCAAGGTTTTATTTCAAACGCAGTGTGATCTAAAAGTTCTAAAATTCTAAAATATCGTGAAAGTTGATGTAAATTTAAGTCAAACTTTTATTTTCAAGTTTATTGACTTGCAATTTTTTATTTTGGTTTTTAGAATTTAGACTGAGTTAAATTTGTGTTAAAATGTGTGGAATCTCTTCTTTTCATTCGCGAAATTATCATTTCAGCCACAGCATGTTATTTTTCCAAAGTTAAATGAATTTTCACAATTTTTCAATTATTCGAGTGGTTCGTACGAGTAATTTGAATGTTAATTTTGTGAATGAAAGGTGGAGATTTCTCTGTTCACATTTTGCCTACGAAATGTCTGAAAGTGTATGGAAGCTTGTGAAATTTTTGATCATTTATTCTGCAAAAGGTAAATTCTAAAGCACTGAACTTTCAGGTAATATTAATGTCAAGCTTTCTACAGGGAATTGACCTAATCAGCCGATATTTAATCTCCCTTCTTTATCTTCTAATTAAGGATAACAAATTTTATTCGCGAACAAACCGCGAAACTCTGTAAAGTCGTCTTATCCGCGACAATAAAATTCTTACTTTCTGGAAAACGAAATTGCCAGCCGAGTCGGTAATAAAATGCCCGTTTTCGGGAAATTAAAGTTTTGCACGACCACTTTTATCAACTTTTTACTTTACTGGTTTTCGAAAATAAAACTTTTATTAAAACCAATGTCCAGAACTTAAATCTACTTTACTTTCTTCTCCCCTTCCCTTTGTCGAACAGTCGAATTTGTAGTTTTTGTTAATAGGACAAGTTTTGTCTTCTGTTACAAGTAATATCTGTGCGATGAAATAAATCAGTATTTTCAGAGATACGATGCTCACATTTTGGAAGAATTACACTTGCAAATTTATCCGTGGAAGTGTTTCTAGTGAAAAACAGGAGAAATTAAATCTGTTTATCAAATTTTACAAGTTTTTTGCATGCGAGTGTATTATGCAATTAAACTTTACTATGGAATTCAGTGAAACTGCAGAATCTGCAAATACTTTTTGAATTAACATTCCTGTGACGTTGGTTCGTGAGAACTCTGCTTTCAACGTTTGCATTAATCATTTTATTAGACTGGTGTAGCAAAAATTTTTTACATTTCTCATCTAGGTCATAATAAGATAACATTTCTACTTTTGTTTTTTTTGTTTGCCATCAATTTTCTAAATTCTGAATTTCACAAATTCAACTTCTTCAACCTGCATCAACAGTCCCAGAACCAAATTCTCGTTCTTCACAGTTAATGTCCTTTGAGAAAAATCTCTCTGCTTACATTTCGTTCAATTTAATTCTTCAGCAAGTAATCCCGGAAAAAATCGAAACCACACTAAATCAAAATAATGTCCACACATGAAAGCAATGCAATTCTCACGTAATCTCACTTTTACACTTCCTCGACGATGTTGTGTTTTCATCTGTGTCTGTCATTTGCTAAAATAATAAGAAATGTGCACCCTTTAAAAAAAAAAAGAACATTCTTTACCTTGATCAGAGATTAAATCGATGTCAAAAAAAAGAATAGAAACATGTTCTTCAGTAAGAAAACTTCTTTTACTGCAAATTGGTATCGAAGGTTCTCGAAAATCTCGAAACACACTCTTGACGTATGCACGAGCGAAGGTTGACAGGCTTTTGATATTGCAAAGAAAATCGAAGGAACAGCGGGCATGAACACGAGGATAATCGCGGTGCGTGTCGCGCAAAAACGCGCGCGGTTACAACTTTCGCCACGATTCCCCGTTGTAATAATGCGTTCCAGCTGGACTAATTATTGTTGGCTCGAAATATGACATGCGATTGATGTCGAAACCGCTCGAGGTTGCTGAGCTGTATAATTTTTCTGCCATTCTCAATTAGGTTTCGTTTTGATTTCGTTCGTTCGATAACAAGTCGAAATAATTGGATCACGTTTCACGAGTGGTCATACTCGAATGGTCAATATTGAATCGGATTGATATCATTTTCTGTAAATCGTCGGGTAATGGAAGTTCTCGAAACGCAGAAGGAAAATTGACGTGTCGATTTGGTTGAGGATATCGATTTTTAACGAGGATTTATTACGTGATTCGAGTGTAAATTTTACATTTTGCTCGTTGACGAGGGAAAATGAAGTTTGGGCGAATTATCGTTATGGGGAGATAATGAAAAGTTGTTTTTAAAATATTAAAATGGAATTTTGGAAGAATTGAAATTTGAAAATTTGGAAGCATTTTTTGTGACATCTTGAGTGATTTGAGTACGTTATCATTTTAAGTATTTCCTTAACTATTATAATTCAAACTATGAAAATTCTAAGTATAGAATGGAAAATTTACACTTGTATGGAGATACCAAGGGCTAAATTTGAAGGGATTTCCCTTTCTCAGTCTTTTTTATCATTTACTATTTCCATTGTGAAAGTTCTGCTGTCAAAATATCAGCCGCTGAAAAACCAAAGTGGTTAACTCCAGTTTTTCTAATTTTCTCAAATTTTCCTATATTTCTCATTTCCCAATTTCAATTTTTACAACTTTTCCTATTTTTCTCAATTTCCAGTTTTACTTTTTCCTATTTTCCCAATTGCAATTTTGCCAATTTTACTTTCTCCTACTCTCCCAATTGCAATTTTGCCAATTTTACTTTCACCTACTCTCCCAATTGCAATTTTTCCAATTTTCACATTTCCCCAATTTTCATTTTTCCCATTTTCCAAATATAAATTTTTCCTACTTTTCCCATTCCCCCGATCTTTCAATTTTACCAATTCTCGTACCAAGAGCACACTTTTTCATAAATGAAATAAACTGAATAAATTTTATTTAGCAGAGTCGGTCGTTTTGCCTTTGAGCAACACGGTACAAACTTTTAGCTGGAAATATAAGAGTACAGAGTTCCCAGCGTTCATTTTTATTTATCATCGGAATAATGGAAAATTGAACGACGAAAATTTCGGAATGCTCCCATTTTCGGCAGTGGATGGTGGGTCCATTACCATTTTCAGTCGTCTGCAAGCTTCTTGGCTGACTTAATGCAGGTTGTCGCGACGTTCCGGAGTAATTT